GTGAACCCGTGACGCGAACACTGGTATTTTTTTACCCCAACCCCCCCCCCCCCGCCCCCCAAACGTGACGAGTATTAAGTTAGTTCTGTTGCATCCATTCTTCAGGATGGACAGCTAATTAATATTCATGTACAAAGGGCTCCTATTGGTCAGTGACGCTACAAAAGCTTCACACGGACGTCTTTATGAGCCGGCCTCAGGCTCGAAACAAAACTTGGTTTTGCAGTTCTGTACTTCTGCGTATATCAGTTATTTGTCATTCATTACTCTTCACATTGAATGCCCCCCCCCCGCCCCCCAAACGTGACGAGTATTAAGTTAGTTCTGTTGCATCCATTCTTCAGGATGGACAGCTAATTAATATTCATGTACAAAGGGCTCCTATTGGTCAGTGACGCTACAAAAGCTTCACACGGACGTCTTTATGAGCCGGCCTCAGGCTCGAAACAAAACTTGGTTTTGCAGTTCTGTACTTCTGCGTATATCAGTTATTTGTCATTCATTACTCTTCACATTGAATGGTTAAATAATAAATTTAGATTACATAACAAGCGGACTGGGGTTGATTTACACAATATTTTTCAAGCGGTGAAGCGACAATGAAAATCATTATTTTCTGTTTATTTGGCGATTAACACATTTCCACTCGTATTGTTTTTTTAATTATTATTATGCAGTACTGAAAATAAGTGCCATGAAGAAGATGATTTTTGGTGTATTAAAAAAATGTCGTTTTTGCCTTCACTGGGACATTTTTGTGGTCATCACAAAACACAAATGTCAAAGGAAAAAGCAAAACATGTGGAGTTAATCCTCTAACAAATTCACATTTGCTTATTACTCAATCCTGAGGGTAATGAGAATCTAGCACTTTAAGTACTTCAGACTGTGCTGTCTATTGCAACCAAACAGATAAGCAACAGAATCCTCAGAGGACATGAGCTTCCCCTAAAAGTAGAATAAACACCTCAAATGAGAAGATTTACAAGATCTGAATTACACAACCAGACTAGGAAATTATGTCATGTGTGTGGACACTTTTTATTAGAGCGAGAGCGAGAGAGAGAGAGAGAGAGAGAGAGAGAGAGAGAGAGAGAGAGAGGGGGGGGGGCAAGGGAGAGATTACATAAGTGTTTTGAACTGTATCAGAGTCACATGGTAAGAGAGAAAGCTTGCAGTGAAAGACTCACTGGGATTTTTACAGTCAGTCATAAAAGTTCTTGAGACTGTGAAACAGTTGGACAGGGAGCAAATCATGTGATCTAAGACTGGCGGTCAGGAGGCAAAGCCCTGCCCCCTTGCAAATTAGGCTCCACCTTGCTGTTGAACACATGATCACTGCTTTTACTAATTGTTGTGAACACTCCATTTTGCAAGAAAGTGTTTCTTCAAAACATATCGTGTTCTGCACAGGAGACATACGTTGTGCTGTCTAATGCCTCAATGGTCTTAATATTTCAAACATGGGCGTCATTAGGCCTATTTTAGGGAGGCTTCAGCCTCCCTAAAAATGTCTTTAGCCCCCCTAAATAATTTCATTGCATTATTTAAAAAAAAGTATTATTTATTTTTCCTGTACTTTTGCTAATATATTGCATCAAATTCAATGTAATGTGGCCATTTTAAATTATATTT